GAATAATACTCCATTGTGTATATGTACCACATCTTCTTTATCCATTCATCTATTGATGGACACTTAGGTTGCTTCCATTTCTTGGCTATTGTAAATAGTGCTGCGATAAACATAGGGGTGCATCTGTCTTTTTCAAACTGGGCTGCTGCACTCTTGTGTAAATTCCTAGGAGTGGAATTCCTGGGTCAAATTATATTTCTATTTTGAGCTTTTTGAGGAACCTCCATAATGCTTTCCACAATGGTTGAACTAATTTATATTCCAACCAGCAGTGTAGGAGGGTTCCCCTTTCTCCACATCCTTGCCAACATTTGTTGTTTGTCTTTTGGATGGTGGCGATCCTTACTGGTGTGAGGTGATATCTCATTGTGGTTTTAATTTGCATTTCTCTGATGACTAATGATGTGGAGCATCTTTTCATGTGTCTGTTGGCCATCTGAATTTCTTCTTTGGAGAACTGCCTGTTCAGCTCCTCTGCCCATTTTTTGATTGGATTATTTGCTTGTTTGTGGAGATGTGTGAACTCTTTATTTATTTTGGATGTCAACCCTTCATCGGATCTGTCATTTATGAATATATTCTTCCATACTGTAGGATGCCTTTTTGTTCTATTGGTGGTGTCCTTTGCTGTACAGAAGCTTTTCAGTTTGATATAGTCCCACTTGTTCGTTTTTGCTTTTGTTTCCCTTGTCCGGGGAGATATGTTCATGAAGAAGTTGCTCATGTTTATGTCTAAGAGATTTTTGCCTATGTTTTTTTATAAGAGTTTTATGGTTTCATGACTTACATTCAGGTCTTTGATCCATTTTGAATTTACTTTTGTGTGTGGTGTTAGCCAATGACCCAGTTTCATTCTCTTACAGGTAGCTGTTCAGTTTTGCCAACAGCAGCTGCATTATCCTTTTTAAAATATGCTGAATATATTTTAATGAGGATTTTGTCTGTTCATGAAGCATATTAGTCAATAGTTTCTTTTAATGTCACTGTTGGATTTTGTTATTAGGGTAATGCTAGTTTCACAAAATGACTCAGAAAGGTTTCCCTTCTACTTAAGTTTGTGTGTAGCATTAGATATTATTCTCCTTAAACGTTTGGCTAGAATTTGCCAGTAAAGCCATTAGGAGGTTTTTATCTATGAAATCAATCTCTTTAGGAGATAATAGGACTTTTCAGGTTGTCTACTTCTTGTGTGTGCTTTGGTAATTTGTCTTTCAAGGAATTTATGCATTTTGTTTAAGTTGTCAAGTTTATCGGCATAAAGTGTTTCTTACATTTATGGGAACCTCAACACCTGCAAACCATGCAGTGGGCTGGTATTCTGGGATCGCTGGTCCTGGCGGTAGGCAACAGGTACCACTTCCTTGACACAGAGAACATATGCTTCATGACCTTTGTCTTTTAAACTTGCTATGGTTTGTCTTACAGCCCAGACAATTTATCTTGGTGAATGTTCCCAGGACACTTGAAAGTCACCGTTGGATGAGGTATTCTCTAAGGGGCATATAGTCAGATTGGGTCACAGTGTTGTTCATGTCTCTATATCCGTACTGATTTTCTGTCATCTCATTTTATGAATTACTAAGAGAACCATAGAGTCCTCTAAATACACTTGTGGATTTCTATCGGTTTTTCATGAATCCCAAAGCTCTGATAGCTGCACATTTAGAATTACATGTCTTTCTGTTGTGCCCCTGATAATATTCCTTTTATGAGTTATTAATATAGCTAGCCCAGCTTTCTTTTGACTAGTTTTACCATGGCATACTTTTTTCCATTCTTAGTCTTTTAACTTTCTCTAATTTAAAAAGGGTTTCTTGTAGAAAATGTATAGCATGTTTTTAAGGGGTCTGCTCAGAACATTTATACTTAATGTAATTGTTGATATCACTGGATTTGAACCTCTTATCATGCTGTTTCCTATTTGTACTATTTGTGATTTGTTCAATTTTCCTATCTGCTTTTGGATTTCTATGATCCCATTTTATCTCCACTACTGGTTTATTGGTTATATATCACCTAAATTTTTTTAAATCATTGCTCTAGGGTTTATAATAGATCTGTAATTTTTCAGTTTACCTTCTAATATTATGCCAACTCAGTATGACAGCTTACTTCCGATTTCTCTGTTTTGTGGTATTGTTACATTTTACTTATAAATATGTGGTAAACTATTTTTGCTTTAGTGAATTTTATTTTTAAGTGACTAAAAATAAGGAAAATTAATTTATATTAACCTCAATTTTAACCACTTTCAAAATTCTTTACTTTGGTAGATACGGTCTATTTCTGGTATGATGTTTTTCCTACCTGAGGAAACTCCTTTAAAAATTTTGTAGTACAGATCTGCTGGTAGTAAATTCGATTTGCTTTTGTTCATCTGAAAAAGTTTTCATTTTGCCTATTTTTTGAAACTTTTTTCTTTTGGCTTGAAATGTTTTAACAGTATTTTGTTTCAAAATGTTAAAGATGTAAATTCATTACCTTCTGGCTTGCATTGTTTTTGATAAGTCTGCTTTTTTTAAAAAATCTCTGCTCCTTGTATATAGTGTGTCCTTTTCTTAAATTTATCTGCCATCAGTATTTCCTCTGCACTATTGATTTTCAGCTGTTGGCAGTAATGTGTCTGGCTTATTTTTATTTTTTGTTTTTATTCCTGCTTGGGTGTTCTGAGGTTCTTGCATCTGGATGACATCTTTTCTTATTTTTGGGAAAATTGTCAGCCATTATCTCCTCAAATATTTTTCTTCTCATTCTCAAATCTTCCTGGATTTCTAATTTTACATATATTAGACCATAGAAAGTTTTCCCACCCTTCTTGGGTGCACTTTTTTTTAAAAATTTGGTTGATTTCAATTGACATGTCAGCTGACATTTTTGTCAGTTCTGTTGAGCCTGCTCAAAAGCAACCTTTGTAATGTTTTCTAGCATTTCCTGTTCTTTAATTTCCACTGAAACCCCATTTGTTTATATATAGTCTGTCCTTTTTATGAGAGCATTTCACACATCAACCAGTTATATAAAATTCTTTGTCTGACATTTCCAAGATATGGTTATCTCTAAGTGTGATTTTAATTAGTCTGCTGTCTTTGGCAGAGTTTTTTTTTTGGGGGGGGGTATTTTTGAATACCAGTTAACTTGTATCAAACAGGAGAGACTTAAGTAAATAGTATTTTTTTTTTTTGCCTGGAATTAGGTGCACCTAGTCTGCTAGGATGGGATGCTAAACAGATTTGGTCAGGAATTAAGCTGGAGTTGGATTTTGCTGTGCCAACAGTTATCTTCACTACACCACTCCAAAATTTTCTAATGTTACCTTGTGTTTGGGGCGGGGGGCTGATGTGTGGACAATTTTACCCTGTGTTCCTGCTCTACCCTCAGCTTTTGGTCATCCTTATGCTCCTGTGCCACAGAAAAGTTCTCTGTCCATGTTCTTGCCATTTCCCATTGTAGCCTGCTATTGCTTGTCACTAGAAACAAGCTAACCTACTTATGAGGACCAGGTATATTCTTTAATGTCCTCAGTATCAGTCTTGAGAGATTAGAGATGTCAGACATCTTACACATTTTGGGGAGCTAGGACTACATAACATGAAAAATGAGACAGAAGCTTTCTTTCCTCAGCTGTGAACAAAAAGGAAGATAATACCATCTTGTGAGCAATCCGAAGAGCTCACACAAAAGGACAAAGTAAGAGAATTAAAGAAAAGCAGCACAAAGCCTCCTTAACTGACCAGACCAAGTCTTACCCTACCTTTATCTTTTCATTTATATGCATTCGGAAATATTTTTGGTTAAGCGACTCTGAGTTGTTTTGTTACTTGCAACTAAAAGCCTCTCAATAAAACCACCATGAGCTCTCATGATTTTCCCTTGTAAGTGATGACAGTAAAGAAATACCTTAGAAGCCCTAGATTTATAGTGACACTGTGCAACTTGATTCAGCACCTTGGAGACCGAGTTAAGTCAGTGTGGTGGTCTCCCCATTCATCCAATGGAGGGAAATCTGACAGAAAACTGTGATGCATCACTTTATAATAATACTGAATTGCACTGAGACATTCTAGGCTGCATGGCTTCTAAGACTTAAAATTTTTTCACAGAAAGATAAAGTTGCTGACACCTAATTTATCTGTATCCTCAAAAAATCTACAGAAGTTTGAAAATTAACTTCCAGGTTTTCATTCTTTAGTTTTGGCACTAATGCCATAATTAAATAGTGCAATCACATCGTGAGTTCTTAATTATAAGTGATAACATCTCAGTAGTTAAATTGGTAAATGTTGATTAAAAATGTTTTTTTTAATGAAGTACAAATAAAAGACTAAGCCAAAATTTTGCTTGCCAGAGAAAAACCACTGTATACATGATGGTGGATAATCTTTCATACATTACCTACTAAGCATGCATTTGAACATATATGTTTACAGACTTAAATTAACTAGACATTACAAAGGTAAAATTTGTATTTTCACTAAACAATATACATGATCCTTCCTGTCATTTTAGATAAATTCCATACTTTCTGTAGCTCCATATTATAGGAACATAGAGAAATTTATCTAAACTATTTATTTCTAGTTTTAAAAAGTACCCTTATTGTACACATTCTCTCACTGCTAAAACTGCTTTATCATAAATTTTTCTGATTTTCACATAGGCATGTATATTTTACATTTTGATATATGTTGTGTGACTCTTCTTGTATTTTTCACTCCCACCAACAAAATGCATTGTTCTTGAATATGGAGACTAGCAAATAAAAGGCAATCCTATCTTATGATCAACTTGTTTGATAAAATGTTAACAAAAATTCAAGATTTTTCCTTTCCTTGCATGAGTAGGAGGGGGATGGAGAACCTAACAAAATTAAAATCCTCTAAATTCATCACAGAACCTGCCTAAGGAGATTTGAACTGGACAAAGGCTGTAATTCTTAGAAATTGATCATATCAAAATATCAAAAGGACTTTGATGGAAATATGGAGACTAAGACCCAAGTATTGTAGTTTTGACATTTATTAAGAAAGCATTTTATATTGGTAACCATTTCTGACACTTCCCAAATATTATAGTAAAACTCTGTCTTAGACACACAAGGCAGGAATAAAAATTCAATTATGTAAAATGCAGTGTTTCCATTTTTAGAAAGTTAACCAGTAACATTATTCATCAGTTTGTGCCATTTAAAGTGCACATACACGTACACACACACAAAGCTAAACTTCAACTGATGGTATATTATATGAAGGAGACCAAATGGTAAGAAATTCAGCTCATCTCTGCGTAAGGTGGGAGAAAAGATGGGAGCAAATCCCAACAGGGTTAAAACCAAATTCATGTAATTTCAGACTGAAATTTTGCTTGATGTTCTTTCTATATTTCAAATGACATTTCTCTATCTGAAGTGATTATATTAAGGATATTTTCGGGATTCCTCTTCCAAATACATTTCTAAATGATTTCTTTTGGGAAATAAGCTGAAGAAAATTTTGAAATATACCTTTAAACACTTTAAGTCATTTAGTAAAAGGTGCTGAGGCAGGTGCCTGGGATATGCAATATCATGGTCTTGTAGGCTTAGCAGAGTGAAACCCCTTCTCCTTAGCAGACTGGATTTAGACATGCTCTGCACTGTACAGTTGTTAAAATTCCTGACCATACTCTTATCTTTTATAAGCCCTAGTGCAATGACCAAAAGAAGTCATGTGCAATGACTGCTGTTAAGACTTCTGAAAAAATCCCTTAGGGAATCCCTTAGTAGGTATTCCCTCTGCGTGGATTCTTGCCTATTGTGAAAGTTGAGGTTGGGCAGAGAGATTGTATTTTCATTAAAAAATTTTTTTTCTGCTATAAGAATTCCAGTGAATGGAAAATTTCAGCTCCCATTTGAGGACTTCAAAACAAAATAGAACACCATTTCACACAAGCTCATTTCTGTATGGATTCTCTGATGAAGGGTAATCCTTACCATGCTCTTCAGTTTTATAGAATTTATCACCACTATGGACTCTCTGATGAATCAGAAGACCGGAGCTCCAACGGAAGCCCTTACCACATGCATCACATTTGTATGGTTTCTCTCCTGTGTGGACTCTCTGATGAGCCTGAAGGTTTGATCTCTGACTGAAGCCCTTCCCACACACCTCACATTTGTATGGTTTTTCCCCAGTGTGGACTCTGTGATGGGCTTGAAGACTTGAAAACCCACTGAACCCCTTACCACACTGTTCACATTTATAGGGCCTCCCTTCTGTGTGGACCCTCTGATGTGCTTGAAGGCGTGAACTCTCACTGAAGCCCTTCGTGCACACCTCGCATTTGTACGGTTTCCCTCCTATGTGGGCCCTCCGATGTGCTTCAAGGCGTGAGCCTTGACTAAAGCCCTTCCCACACATCTCACATTTATATGGTTTCACTCTAGTGTGGACTCTCTGGTGACCTTGAAGGTAGGCTCTCTGACTGAAGCCCTTCCCACACACCTCACATATATATGGTCTCTCTCCAGTGTGAACACTCTGATGGCTTTGAAGGTATGATCTCTGACTGAAGCTCTTACCGCACTCATCACACTGGTATGGCTTCTCTCCTGTGTGGACTCGTTGATGGGCCAGAAGAGTTGAGGCCTTACTGAAGCCCTTACTACATTCTCCACATTTATAGGGTTTCTCTCCTGTGTGAACCCTTTGGTGAATTTGAAGATTAAAGCTCCAACTAAAGCCCTTCCCACACTCCTCACATTTGAATGGTTTTTCTCCAGTGTGGACTCTCTGATGACCTTGAAGGTGTGAACTCCGACTGAATCCCTTACCACACTCTTCACACTTGTATGGTTTCTCTCCAGTGTGAACTCTTTGATGGCCTTGAAGGTATGAATTGCGACTGAAGCCTTTCCCACACTCCTCACATTTGTATGGTTTTTCTCCAGTGTGGACTCTCTGATGGGCTTGAAGGTATGAACTCCGACTGAATCCCTTATCACACTCTTCACATTTATAAGGCTTCTCTCCTGTGTGGACTCTCTGATGAACGTTGAGAACTGATCTATGACTGAAGCCTTTACCACATGCACTGCATTTGTATGGCTTCTCTCCAGTGTGGACTCTCTGATGATCTTTAAGTTTTGAACTCCAACTAAAGCCATTCCCACACTCCTTATAAGGTTTCTCTCCAATGTGAATTTTCCGATGGCTTTGAAGATATGAATTTTGGCTGAAGCTGCTACCACATGCATAGTGTTTATATGGTTGTTCCCTAGTATAGACTATCTGAGGGTCCTGAATATGTGAGGCCAGACTAAAGCCATTACCACATTCTTCAGAATTACAGGGAATCTCTTCCATGTGAACCCCATGCCGAATGTTAAGATTTGAGCAACAGATGAAACCCTTCTCACACTCCACATCTGTGTATAGTTTTTCTTCAGTGTGGATTTTCTGATGGACTTCAAGATAAGACCTCTGATTAAAGACATTCACATTCTCCTCATATTCATGGGGTTCCTCCCCAGTATGGACCCTAAAAATACCATTAAGGTCTAAGCTATGACCGAACGCTTTCTCATAAATGCTGTTTTTATAGGACATCCCTTCTGCATGAGTAAGTTCGTAAGTATTAAGAGAAGAGTAGTGACTAAAGTTCTCACCGTATCTCCACTCACATGGCTTCTTCTCAGTATGCACTTTCTGATGGGACTGCACATGTGAACGTTCAAAAGCACAATCATCTCCCCTATGATGAACACTTTGATTAATATGGAGAACTGAAGTATAACTGCAGCCCTTTCCACATGGACTGTATGCATGGGGCTTTCCTGCTAAGTGTAACTGCTGATGAACTTCAGAGCTAGAGTCATCACTTAAGGTTTTTCTGTACTTAGTATAGGGGTAGGGCTTTTGCCCCATTTGAATTAAGTTTTGATTATGCAGTGCAACCATCACAATGTCTTCTCCACAGTCATGGCAGCTGGAGATTTTTTCTCCTCTGTGTACTCCCAGATTATCATTGTGATGTGAGATCCAACTAAAGCTGTCACACTTAGAGAAATTATTTTTCATGGAAATTTGCTGACATCTACACTGGTAATTATGTAATTTGGTCAGATAAGTTTTCCTCCAAGAATGCTGGGCTCTCCAAGACGGATATTCTTGATTGTTCAGGGAATTGGACCCATCTCCTATATGAGTCAATATATAGCGCTCATCTTCAGAAATCTGAATTGGTATTCCTGCCCAAACCTGGCAGGTGGAACCACCTTGCTTTTGCAACCGAGAAATAGTCCCTTGGTGACTTTTCATGGAATCTGGACACCTTGTGAAACCGCCTGCCCCTTGTTGCCAGGTCTGCCAGGAAGAAAGCTCTTTGGGGAAAAGATAGTTTAATCCCACTTCTTGGGTATTCTCCACATTATATTGACTCTTGGTTCCTATAAGGATAAAGAGAATTTAGACATGTGCACAAGTGAATGCTTTTATTCAGGGATTTCAAGATTTTGCACTTAGGTCATGACATGAAACTTCAATGAACTAGAGGAAGATTCATGTTACTACTTCCAAGAATACTTAGAAAATGGCTCTTCTCTGATGACACCAGGAATATAAGTAGGATCCACATAATTCAGGCTATACATATGCCTCAAAATCAGGGCTTTCCAATACAACCCAGACATCGAACATGGTGGCTCTGCTCAGAAGGCTAGCAAAACCACACACATACTATCATTATCATAGCTTTATCATGGGTTGTGTGGAGATCCTAAAGAGAAAAGAGAAGGGGATATTCTTCGAATTGGAAAGAATATAGTTTCAAATAGACAAATGCATTCTGTCTTGATAACTTTTTATTTCTGGCATATGGGTATGATAACACTTTTGTTTGTTTGTAAGAAGACTGGGTATTAAATGCTGCGGAGATGAAGGTGATTAGAGACCTTTACTCTATGCTTGAGGCTTCACATGGTCTACCTCTAATGAGCTATATTTATCATCATGAGAATAAAAAGCTCTCCTAAATCACTGTAAGCCATAAACAATTTTCAAGTCTTTCCAAAAGATATTTTATGATTACTAAGGGCAAGGGTACAGGTAGAACATGAAACCCTGTCACAGAATTCAACTCCAGAGAAGACATCGGAAAAAAATAGGGGCTGAGGGAGGTGAGCGCGGCCAACTTTCCTGCCACCTGTAGGCGTCCTTTGTGGCAACTCATCAAACAGAACTCAGTGAACACTGGGTTTGGCTTGTGTCATTTTACTGGAAAATTAATGTTTACAGAATGAGGCACCAGAAGAGCTGAAGAAAGGCACATTTGGGTGGAAATGTCTGTCCCTTTGTTATTAAAGCTCAGAGTATAAGCAGACGGCAACTTTCACATCCCAGTAAGGAATACCCTCCGTGAGGATAACTGGTTCAACAGGGTTGAAGAAATAACATGTACCTTTCTAACACCTGGCAGTATGCTAATTCTCTATAGCATCCAGGAAAGAAAAAAACAGTTGAAAGAGGGTGTTTTTCTTGTTAACCTGAACACTGTCCTCAAACATAGTCACTCCTTATCTAATCGCGTCTGTCCCTCCACACTCGAATATATTACCCACAAGGACAACCCTTTGTTTTGCGCACTGCACTGCCCTCACTGCCTACAACGCTCCCAGCAAATAGTTGCTCAGTTAACATATCAGGAACAGATCAGTTTGAGTCATCTGTACTTACAGAACAAAAAGGGCATGTATATGTAAGTTTATTTTTCATGGGAAAGGAACTAGTGGTGGCAACTTTGCTGCAAAGCTGAAAGGCTGTATGAGAGGTACGACTGACTACATGCAGGGAATCGACGCTGAAGTGAAAAGCAAAGGGCAGAGGAATCTCTCACGACTTAATCTTTAACTTTTGAAGTAATCTTTTAAATGGCATGTTTCTTCTTGTACAAAATCATACCTGTAGTCCCATCTCATCCTCAACTTTAAAAAAGAAGGAAAATAAAGTGCCACACTGTTGACTGTAGGGCACGAAGCTCTAGGGCAGCATGCTGACTGTAGGCTAACATTTTATGGCATATCCGTAAGTATACATCCTAGTGCTCTAAAAAAAAAATGCTTACTGATGTCTCTGGCTTCTCAGAATCAAAGCTTTCCTTTATTACATTAATATTTTATCACTTAAAAGGTGAAGTGAATGGACATATATGGGAGACTTGTCAGATAAAGCAAATAGTTTATACCTGAGAAATTGTGTCTACCCAAATTTATAAATGAACTTGACAAGAAGACATGCACTGCAAAAGAGCATAAAAGCACTTCACTGGAAATTAGAAATCTGGGAATTATTTCATCTTCTAATGCATAATCCTGCATTAGAGTTTGAGAAAGTCAGTCACTCCAGAATTCCCTATCAATCAATTCAGTAACAAAGATGTTATATGTATTATAAATACCAAATAATTCCTTTAAATTTGCTAGCCATAATAAAGAGAAAGAAACCTCAGTTTCTATTTTCTCTTCTCTTTTCTACCAGAAGCTACTCGGTATCAACTCAGACAACCCAGGTTGACATTACCCTGCATTTTCCTTTGTTTTTAGACAGTAAGAGAAACCAAGGCACTCTGGGGGCAGTACAATTACAGTAACAATGTTTTAATTGCAGACTAATACTTAAACTGCTGAGCCAGCTATTCTCTTAACCCCACCTGAGGCTTAGCTCTCTTTAAGAGAGTAATTTAACTGTTAGAGGATTTCCTGTCTCCACTTTTCCTTATAATCGAATGAACTATCTTTTTGTTTTGGAAGGTTATTAATTACTGATTAAATTTCTTCAAAAGATGTAGGCTTATTGAGATTGTCTACTTCTTACTGTACGAGTTTTGGTAAAGTGTGTCTTTCAGAGAGTTGGTCCAATTCACCTAGGTCATCAAATTTGTGAGCAAAGAACTTGTTCATAGTATTCCTTTATTATACTTTCAATGCCCATCGCATCTATGGTGATGTCCCCTTTCATTTCTGATATTTATAATTAGTGTCCTCTTTCTTCTTAAACCTGGCTAGAAGCTTATCTATTTTATTCATCTTTTCAAAGAACGAGTTTTTGGTTTCATGTATTTTCTCCATTGGTTTCCTATTTTCAAAATAGAAAATTTCAGTGAAATTACTTATTTCTGTTCTAATTCTTATTACTCCTTTTCTTCTGCTTGCTTTGGGTTTAATTTGCTCTTCTTTTAAGATGGAAGCTTACATAACTGACTTTAGATCTTTCTTCTCTTCTAATGTATGTCATCAATACTATAAATTTCCCTCTTTGCTGCATCCCACAAATTTTGTTAAGTTGTGTTTTCATTTTCATTTAGTTTGAAATATTTTTAAATTTCTCTTGAGATTCTTCTTTGACTCATGTTATTTAGAAACGTGTTGTTGAATATCCACATATCTTGAGATTTTGCAGTTACTTAATTTATTGATTTCTGTTTTAATTCCATTATGGTCTGAGAACAGATAGATGATTTTTATTTTAAATTTGTTAAGGTATGAACAAAGCAAAACTGAAGGAACAAAATAGCAGCAGACTCACAGACTCCAAGAAGGAACTAGTGGTTACCAAAGAAGAGGGGTGGGGGAGGGCGGGTGGAGAGTGAGAAGGGGATTGAGGGGTATTATGTTTAGTACACATGGTATGGGGGTCACCGGGAAGACAGTGTAGCACAGAGAAGGCAAATAGTGAACCTGTGGCATCTTATTACACTGATGGACAGTGACTGCACTGGGGTATCGGGGGGGACTTGATAATATGGGTAAATGTAGTAACCACATTGTTTTTTCATGTGAAACCTTCATAAGAGTGTATATCAATATCTTAATAAAAAAAAATTTTGTTAAAGTATGTCTTATGGCCCAAAATGTGGTCTATCTTAGTGAATGTTCCATTTGAGCTTGAGAAGTATTCTATCTTTCTAATCATCTACAGTAACATTGGTTCTGACATATAACTCTGTGCCACAAAACTGTCAATTTGGAATCATGGTTTTGAGTTAGTCCACAGGGAGAAACATATAACATATGAAAACAAGGACAGGTTATGTGGAGTAGGGGCCGAGGGAGTAAAATGCAGAAAACAAAGATGCCCCTTATAGCATAAAGCTGGCCAGTCTATCACAGCCTGAGATCAGATATCAGAACCACTATTAATGATCCAAAAAAGCTACCTAAAAATTAATAAAAGGTGATTAAACATATGCATAATTTTAAAAAGATTTCTCATATTAACAACATGGCATATATCCTTATCTTCTTTATGTCTGAAGTTAGTTACAGCAAATGTAGTAAGTTTTCTATTAACAAATTTTGGCACAGAATAGTAATGCTAGATCAACATCTGACTGGCAGATGTGTGACAACAGAAAACACTTATGAAAGGTTGCACTAAAACTTAAGGTTCGGTTAACATATGTTAAAGTTAAGTTATAATTTTAGCGATTATTAACCCAGTGATGTTTGATATTCTAATTAAGCCATAAAGAAATTAAAGTTACCAAAGGAAACAGCTGAGAACAGCTATCTGAGACCTCCTGATGGGAATGGGAAGTTTCTTTGTTCAGTGCCAGATAATTATACCCTGAAGAAGCAGAATTAAAGATGAGGAATTTTTATGGACTGGCTCAGAAAAACATCTACTTCTCAGCTGCTCCTTTTTTTTTCACTATGGGGAGAGACATTCAACTTGGGACAGAGAAGGAGATCAGAGTACAAGAAAATATCTGTGAGAGATTATTTGAAGATAATGCTGGAGAAATCTGGCCTACCAGTAGACTTGCGGCATTTCTAAGAAAATGGATTAGTGCTATGCAGCAAGGGAAGCTTCAATACCGAAAGGGCTTAATACATGTTCTGGAAATACTGGTCTTAACTGAAGGGAAAATTCCTCTTCAAAGCAAAACTGAAGGAACAAAATAGCAGCAGACTCACAGACTCCAAGAAGGAACTAGTGGTTACCAAAGAAGAGGGGTGGGGGAGGGCGGGTGGAGAGTGAGAAGGGGATTGAGGGGTATTATGTTTAGTACACATGGTATGGGGGTCACCGGGAAGACAGTGTAGCACAGAGAAGGCAAATAGTGAACCTGTGGCATCTTATTACACTGATGGACAGTGACTGCACTGGGGTATCGGGGGGGACTTGATAATATGGGTAAATGTAGTAACCACATTGTTTTTTCATGTGAAACCTTCATAAGAGTGTATATCAATATCTTAATAAAAAAAAATTTTGTTAAAGTATGTCTTATGGCCCAAAATGTGGTCTATCTTAGTGAATGTTCCATTTGAGCTTGAGAAGTATTCTATCTTTCTAATCATCTACAGTAACATTGGTTCTGACATATAACTCTGTGCCACAAAACTGTCAATTTGGAATCATGGTTTTGAGTTAGTCCACAGGGAGAAACATATAACATATGAAAACAAGGACAGGTTATGTGGAGTAGGGGCCGAGGGAGTAAAATGCAGAAAACAAAGATGCCCCTTATAGCATAAAGCTGGCCAGTCTATCACAGCCTGAGATCAGATATCAGAACCACTATTAATGATCCAAAAAAGCTACCTAAAAATTAATAAAAGGTGATTAAACATATGCATAATTTTAAAAAGATTTCTCATATTAACAACATGGCATATATCCTTATCTTCTTTATGTCTGAAGTTAGTTACAGCAAATGTAGTAAGTTTTCTATTAACAAATTTTGGCACAGAATAGTAATGCTAGATCAACATCTGACTGGCAGATGTGTGACAACAGAAAACACTTATGAAAGGTTGCACTAAAACTTAAGGTTCGGTTAACATATGTTAAAGTTAAGTTATAATTTTAGCGATTATTAACCCAGTGATGTTTGATATTCTAATTAAGCCATAAAGAAATTAAAGTTACCAAAGGAAACAGCTGAGAACAGCTATCTGAGACCTCCTGATGGGAATGGGAAGTTTCTTTGTTCAGTGCCAGATAATTATACCCTGAAGAAGCAGAATTAAAGATGAGGAATTTTTATGGACTGGCTCAGAAAAACATCTACTTCTCAGCTGCTCCTTTTTTTTTCACTATGGGGAGAGACATTCAACTTGGGACAGAGAAGGAGATCAGAGTACAAGAAAATATCTGTGAGAGATTATTTGAAGATAATGCTGGAGAAATCTGGCCTACCAGTAGACTTGCGGCATTTCTAAGAAAATGGATTAGTGCTATGCAGCAAGGGAAGCTTCAATACCGAAAGGGCTTAATACATGTTCTGGAAATACTGGTCTTAACTGAAGGGAAAATTCCTCTTCTGGGTTTCCTAAAGGTGCCCAAATGGTGGTACCAGGCAGGGTCCCTCAGGACATCAGGCTAGTCATGATCAGATGAGCTGTGCCACTCTGGGTGTGTGTGTGTGTGTGTGTGTGTGTACGTGCTCATGCCCACATGTGCACGCACACTCGTGTCCAAGGTGCCCCTACTGATGATGAGTTTCTATTTTCTCAGTTTGTATTTTCTCTTTCTCTTCTCCTCTACCACAAGCTACTCAGTATCAAGTGAGACAACCCAGGTAGACAACCTAGGTGTGGAAGTAGTTCTCTCTAGTAGCTGAGGGGTATAAAAATCTCACAACACTCCTCCTGGTGGAGTTGAAGCCTCAGGTCATGACCTTGCCATCTGCTTTGGGGTCTGTCTTTCTGGCCCCAGATTTTCTACGAGCCTGGGACAGAACAGAGGAGTATGAACTGGGAAGGACTGAGACATGCTGAGCGCCTCTTCAGAAAGAAGAAAACTTGGGCCACAACGATTTGCTAACAAACATGAAGACCTTTCCCTGATGAGAGGGAGCACTCCCTCTCTGTGGATTTGGTGTGGCATCTTGCCAAATATTGTACACACTGAGGCTGCTTTCTACTCTCTTTTCATGGAGAGAATAAAAATTGCCAGATACTTTCCTGAAAGGTACAGTGGAATCAGATCTATCTGGAACCGGCAAATTACCACAAGGAGATAGAGGAGCAAGATAACTTGCAGGGAGCACCTATTCCCTGGAAGATGGACATTACTAAAAGGATCTCCTGATGGATAGAGCAGATGATTTTATTATAATTAGAGATGACACTGGAAATGAAAAACAGAAACAATGGGAAAAAAGGAAAAGCCCAGAAGCCCTTGCTTTGTAGAGCAATGATACGTGCCTGACGCTACAGACCAGCAGCTTCCCTTTCCGTCCCTGTTGGCGGTTTCAGATCGCTTCAGTAGCAGCCAGCAGTGTTATGGCATAGTGCCAGTGAGGGATCATCTTTCAGAGCCACCAGAGACCACGCTACCTTATGGCAGTGGCAGCTGGTGGTGACTCTAACAGCTGGCTGACTCTGTACCTCTGATAAAGAATTAACCAGGCAATTCCATGAAAGAAAAACTAACTCAAAATAAATTAAAGAGTTAAACAAGACTTGAAGGCATAAAAGTCTTGTAAGTAAACATAAGCAATAAGCTCCTTGGCACAGGTTTTGGTGATGATTTTTTTAATCTGAGACACCAAAAGCAAAAATAAGTAAATGGGACTACATTGAACTAAAAAGCTTTTGCACAGCAAAGGAAACTATCAACAGAATAAAAGGCAATCTATTGAATGGGAGAAAATAATTGTAAATCATGTATCTGATAAGAGGCTAATATCCCAAACATATATCAACTCAATAGCAAAAAAAAAAAAGAGTAGACAATGTCAGTAGACATTTTTCCAAACACACACAGATGGCCAATGGTACGGGATACCATTAAGTATCAGGGGAGTGCAAACTAAAACCACAACGAGGTATCACCTCACACCTGTTACAATGGCTCAAGACAAGAAATAACAAGTGTTGGTGCAGATGTGGAGAGAAGGGAACAATTATACACAAGGAATGTAAACTGGTGCAGCCACTATGGAAAATAGTATGGAGGCTTCTCAATATATTAAAAAGAGAACTACCATATGGTCCCGCAATTCCATCTCGAGGTATTTATTCAAAGAAAGTGAAAAGACTAATTCAAAAAGATACATGCACCCCCATGTTCACTGCAGCATTATTTATAATAGCTATGATATGAAAACAACCTAAATATCCATCAATGGGGGAATGGATAAGAAACTGTGGAATATGGTTCAGCCATAAAAAAGAATGAAACCTTGTTATTTATAAAAACATGGATTGGCCTTAAGGGCATTATGCTAAGTGAAATAAGTCAGACAGAGACAAATGCCATATGATCTCTCTTATATATGGACTCTAAAACCAACAAAAAAAACAAGTTCCCACATACGATGAACAGATTGGTAGGGGCAAGAGGTGGGGACGTGGCATGGGAGAAACGGGTGAACTGGTTTCTTTGTTTTTTTTAGTTTAAATAAACTGAATAGAATTAAAAAAAAAAACACCAAAACTATAGCTAGATCAAGGGACAGTTTAGCTGTTAGAGGATGGGAGAGTGAAAACCGAGGACAAAATGGGAAGACACAGAGCTGGACCCTGAATGAGGAAGTTAATGCAAGAGCATCTTAGCTGAAACGGCTGCATGGGAAGGGTCAGGTTACAATGCTGGAACTGATCATTTTTGATACTTACTTTAGCTGACTGGCTATCCTTAATATTTTAAGAGTAATGGCTATCTATGAATACTCAAGGACCCCTAAACAGTTAGAAATTAGGACAGGCTACATTCTGGAGCATCCTTCAATTACACCGATTTATTCTATTTTTATTTTCTGTCTTGAGGACTAAAGATAGTGAAGGCCATGTACCTATTAACCAATTCATTCATTCATGGGAAAGGGAAAAGGAAGTCAGCCAAGCATCCTGAAGCAGAAGCATAATTTGACAGGTGTACTGGGCAGCAATGGGACAGTGAGGCCAGAACAGAATGAGCACAAATAAATAAGAGTAAATGAATATGGAAAAAGCTGAAGGGGGTTAAGGGGACAACACCTTAGGGCCTGTCATGTTCTGACTCGTGTCCTAGGAGGGGCTTTCTGGTCACTGGATCACTGCTGGGCAGTTCTCACCTGAACACTCATCTCTCTGGGCTTCTGTCTCCAGCATTAAAAGCTTTTCTTCTCTCTCCAACTGGAATATAAGCTCTGGTTTGAAGGGCTGATTCCCTATAAAAGGAGAGCAAAAGTTTTAGATTTTGACTAAGTCCAACTTACTTTTTTTTCCTTTTCTGAACCACACTTTTGGTGTTATGTCTAAGAACTCTTTGCGTAAGCCAAGATCATGAAGATTTTCTCTTGTGTTTCCTTCTAGAAGTTTCATACTTAGACGTTTTACATTAGGTCTCTTACCCATTTGAGTTCATTTTTTTGTGAGGTGTGAGGCATACATATGGAAGTCCAAATGTTTCAGCATCATCTGCTGGGAAGACTGTAATTCCCCCACTGAATCGCCCGGCACCTACATCTGTGAGAGTTTTGGAACTGCTGCTTCCATGTCACAATGAACGACCCACTAAAAAGTGTTTAGTCTTGCAATTCATTCTGATTCCCCTCCCACTGTACCTAAAACTACGGATTTATAGTTATACATTGTATTTCTTAACCACTCCCAAGAATTGTTTTCTCTCTTCAATGTGGTTATGGTATTAATTTCAAATGACAACTGAGTTCATTTGTTTTATTATTTTTTTCAGTTTTAGATTACTATTCCTTCACACTCATAGTTGAACTAACGTATTTTCAAAAGTCCAAACTTGACAAAGAAGGTATACTCAGATGAGTGTGACTGTCACACGCCCCTTGCACACTATTACCCCCTAACTACCATAAGAAACTAACTGCATGCTTTCTGATTGATTCTTCTTGTGTTCCTTCTTATAAAGATAAGCAGATATACTTATATTTCCTTATTTCCCCTCTTTCTTACACATAATGTATATACAATTAATGCTCCTTTGCACTTTGCTATATTTAGGGAAAATGCTTAGAAGTGAATTGCTGGGAAAGGGTAAATCTACAGTTTTGCTTGTCAAATTGCTCCCCTCAAGGGTTTTATCATTTTACATTTCTATTTTTAGTGCATGAAGGTGCTTTAGTCCCCACAGCTTTGTCCCCCCAAAAAAGGAGTGTTAAGTCTTTAATTTTTGCTAATCTCATGGGTGAGAAATAGTATTTCAGAGTAATTTTAATTAACATCTATTTTTAATGAAACTGCACATCTACTCATATGTATATATATTTATTTGTGTATGTGTGTATATACATATATGTAAGAATACACATGTACACCCCTACCTCCTAGCTCTAGGCCCTCAGACCAAGACACAAAGACGCCACAATAACAATGACGACACCGAACTGGTGTTAACCGGACGTTGGTGTTAAGTACCGTTCCCTAATAAAAGAAATGGATGTTTCCAGAACTGGGGCAAAGTAAAAGATGAACACACAAATGCATACAATGCCACAGGGTAAGAGAGGACTCCAAAAAATGGTGGGGGGCATATTACAAGGGCACAGGATTCAGATTATAGGGGCCAAATTTGGGAAACTTTAGCATCAAAATAATTATAGTGTTAAATTATAAAATATTTTTTAAAAGACAATTCCCAAGTCCCTACAAATAAAAAATAAATAAATGATTAAGTGGGGGAGGGGCTCTTGCTTACTATAGAATGGGAAGTGCTGACCGCTCAGTGTAAAGAAAGTACTGGGTCAGAAAATCATCATTTTAGAACCATAATGGTAAAGACTGGATATGGCAAAAATCATCATTGAATGCTAAATCTAAAGGGAAATATCTGTGTGGTCTTAAAAAGTATTGTCCTATGACTGTAAGAGAAAACAAAGCTGTAATGGTTTAGTGGAAAAACTGGATATTTTGACTGGTGATTAAAATGAGGGACAGATGGTGTGCCTCGAGATGTGATGTCCTCAAAAACCTGACTGACCCAGAGTTCCAGCCAAAATACATCATCTGAATCTAATTATGAGGAAATTGGGAGGAATGTTATATCAAAAACTGGTGCCGAGAGCAACAGTATTCTTAAAAAATGTCACTGTCATAAAAGATAAAGAAATGCTGTGAATATATTCCAAATCAAAGGAGGCGAAAGAGACATGACAGCTTGACTAGACTCGACTCCAGCCTACATCTTGCTCTGGAAGAAGACAAGTATGCTTCTAGGAATATAATTAGCTTTATCAATAAAATCAGAACATAAATGGAAGACGGATCAAAGTTCTATCATCTTTTATACATGAGACCTTTTATACATGAGGCCTTGAGCTACACCAGGTAGTTTAACAATGTGATTTATCTTCAGTGGGGATATGTAACAGAATATTTCTATTTCTGCAAAATACCCTGTTCAGTGAAGAACTGACCTTGCCCACTGAGAGGTCTGGCCCTTGCCCTCCCTCAGCTCTTGGAAGGTGATTCTCTAAGCCCTTGGAATGTCCTGCCTGGTAAGAGTGCCTTTTATACACGAGGCCTTGAGCTACACCAGGTAGTTCAACAATGTGGTTTATGGTGGGGCCTTTGGGCCATGTGCTATTAGCTGGATTTCCAGAGGGGCTGAAAACGAGGATCGGCCACACAGATGCCCGACCACATCTGCAAGACCAAGCTGCAATAAGAACTCTGGACACCAAGGCCTGTGTGAGCCTCTGGTTGGCAGTACACTGCGCAGAGTCCATCACTGCCAGGAAGAGTTAGCGCTGTTTACGACCCCACTGGGAGAAGAGACCGGAAGTCTGGGCGGGAAACTGCCTCCCCTGGACTCTGTCCCAGGTGCCTCCTCTGTTGGATGATTTTAATCCGTTTCCTTTCCAAGTAATAAAGTGTAACCACAAGTGTAACAGCTCTACTGAGTTCTGAGAGTTCTTCTAGCAAACTATCAAGGCTGAGGTTCATCTTGGGGACCCCCAAGCAGCCGGAGCTCCTCCTCAGAGTGAGGATGGTCCTGGGGACTCCTGAACTCTGCATATACATTGATGTACTTAGAGATAAAGGACCATGGTGTATGTAAATTACCCTCAGACGGTTCAGGAAAATATTATGAATATACATACATCTTCATATACATATACATATATATATATATACATATATACACACACACACATACATATACATGGAGAAAGAACATGCACATACATGATAAAATAAATGAGGTAAAATGTTACTATAAATGGATTTAGGTAAAAGCTATATGGGTATGCTTGTTCTTTTATTTTTGCAGATTTTCTCTAAGTTGAAGTTATGTACAAATACACTGTTAAAGCAAAAAACAAAATACCTCCAAAAGATCAAGTTAACAAACAAAGCTCCTGAAACTGTGCAAAACAAAAATGCTGAAGCAACTCACTTGACTGGTTTCATCACAAACCAATGGGACGGGGCTACAATTTGCCCAGTCTTAGTTCAGAAGACAGATTTTTGCCTTGACAAAAACATCAGAAACATTTTGTCTGTGTTGCACAGGGATTGTTAGGACTCTTACGTGTCCAAACTCAGAGTATGATTTCAAGAGTCCCAGAGCTTCAAACACCTGAGCACACAAGAGATGCCTAGGATGCCAATCGGTCAGAAAGGCGCCCGTCCTCACCCACTGACAGCAGGTTCCGGAAGTTCTCCAGCATCACGTCTCGGTACAGCTGCCTCTGGGGGGCATCCAGCAGCCGGAGCTCCTCCTCAGTGAAGACCACAGCCACGTCCTTGAACATCACTGGCGCCTAAACTCCAAACACACACAAACTATGTTTACAGAAGATGGACAACACTGAGAAAGTGTCAAGGATGGGCAGCTGTTCTGGATTCCGAGGGACCCGAGGCAAATTCAGAAGCTGTCTTCTGTTTGCCTTCCACACCGCTAATTCCATCGCCAAAAGGGCTGTAAGAAAAGAAATTCTTGTGCTTAAAATTACCACCTTTTGTTAGCACTCATCTGGATGGGCCCCTGGGATTCTCCTGCATCATGAGCTACAGATATTTAAAATTTTATTAATAATGCCATTTGCCCCCCAAAACCCTTTGTTCCGACAGTGTGTGATGGAGTGTTTTCCCTCTTTTACAAACACACACCACTTATCTAATTTGCCCGACTCACAGGCTACCAATCACCCTTACTGTTTAAGTAGGTAGGTCATCCTTGGTGCCCCAGCTAGAGTGTGCGGCATTTACAGTGTTTCGGTATGGGCTCTGGGGCCTGCCTGCCCGTGTTCCCACTGGAATGCTCTGTCCCACGCTAGCTGGGTGACCTCGGGCAAGTTGGTCATGTTCTCCACCGCTCCACGTTTATGCCTGTACCACTGGGTGCTGGCAATAAAATAAATGAGTGACCACAGGTAAAGCACATAGGAACAGCACTGGGTACATAGTAAGCACCCAATAAGTGTTAGCTATTATTATGATTATTATTATCATCACCTCCGTCATCTTATTCCAGGGCTGCAGAGTAATTCAAGGAATTAATGACCTAGAGTACAAGAAACTGACTGAAACAATGCACACTTAGTTTTAAATTATCTACTATAAACAACGTTGCAAAAAAAAATAAAATTCTTTCACATAGACCTTAGTCCCTGGAACTCTGTTGCTCATCTCCTTAAAATAAGTTCCAAAAAGTACAAGTGGTAATGTCGAAGAGTAACAGCCTTTCAGGTTTTGAAATCAGAATGATAGGGGTTTCCTCCAAAAAGATTATCTAATTCTTCTTTCAAGAAAGTATAAATCCCTAAGTCTTCATACACTGGCCAACACTGGACATGAATACTTAAAAAAAATCTTTGATAATCTCAGAAGTAAACTTGCCAAGTAAAAACCAATTATTAAAAAAAATTTTCACAAAGCTGATTAGTAACAAAGATCACTCTTTTTATATATTTTTGCCAGTTATCTCTTGTTTTGTAATAATATTCATTTTGGGGACATTAAGGCCTTTCCCTCCATGTAAATATTTGTTTGTTGTAAATATTTTTCATTCTACTTTGCTATTTGACTTGTAACTTTTTGCTGTAGGGAATTTTAAATTCGTTACATGAAGGTAAACACTGCATTTGTTCTGGCTGGAGTTCCAAATACCACACCGTGAGGTCTTGGTCTCTGCATGAGAACCCTGGTTTGGTTTGGGAATCATTGTTAGCCTCTCTTTCTTTTCCACCCAAATGATGTGCCTAATAATCTTAATCCAGAAGGGACAGGGTTTGGAGCTGGCCCAACATTTGTCTTCTGTAGGAACCTGAGTAGGACTTGAGTTGACACGAATCCCTTAATCTTCATGTTAATAGTGCAGATGATTCTAAGTCCCCCTCAGAGCAGTGAATAACGGCCCATG